TCCGCGGGTGTTTCAGTGGGGGCACCTACAGAGGTGGGTTCCCAAACTTCCGGCCCCCCCTAAAAGCACCTTCTTTACGGTACGGTTATAGTGTTTCGCCCCCCCCCCCCCCCCCCCGGGTGAACGCTTAGTGCATTCAGACGGCCATGGGACCCGGGGAGAGACTCTCCTCGTCTATTGCGGACAGCTCCGGTCAACCGTCATCAGACTGCCTCGCATCTAACCTACTCTGGGTTGCCAGACTGTAATGGAGAGATACAGCCTGGTCAACTTCCGCCAGCGTGCCTGCCGAGACATATGCCTGTTTACTTCCGTTAGGGCCGTGCTTGTGACAGTCTGCAATGCGACCTAGATCTAACTTGACACGTTAGACGAGGTAGGAGCATCAGCCTCTAATTAGGGCTCTCAGAGGCTCAAACTGGAATAGTATCAACCACAGATGGCGTAGATGGCCGGGTTTGATGGGATGGTGGGATGACAGTGACCACCGACAAGGAGGGCCGATGTCTCCCTGCCACGCCCTCTGCCCGCCTAAGGAATGCTGGTTGTCGATTTAATCACAAGCGCTATGATGGCTTCCCCTTTTTCGTGCGGCAAACGTAACATTTTCTGCTTTCTGCCGGAGAGCTGGTCAACCATGACGCACATGGGGACACTGTTCAGGGGTGTCTCTTCTAGGGGTCTCCTTCTCGTGGGATGGCCAGCTTTCCCACCTCTGTGGCGCCTCTCGACCGGATCTCTGTCCCGACGCCAAACCCAGGACTAGCCATGATCTGCGCAACGCTGCCCGCCGTGCCTGCTGCAGGTCCCCCCCGGGCTTGCCAAAACCGTCTCCGGGGCCCTGGTCTGAGGTCCCGCGTCGTTACGTACTCGGGCTGTGCTATGTTGCAGTCGATGTGCTGGTTCAAGTTTAGCTTGGTGGCTGTTGAAAAAAGTTTTTTTTTTGAAGCGCCCTGGGGAGCCGAAAGTGCGTCTAGACAAAGCGTTGGCTAGGCTGTTCCTGAACAGGGGGCGTCACAATTGGGAGATACCTATTTTCAAGGGTCCAAAGGTCGTTGTTGAGATTTTATTAGGATACACCAATTCCTATTGGCCACTTCGCGGACTCGGAATGAATGCGGCGTGATATCGAGTTGTAGAATCTCGTTATTCACGACCCTTTCTAATCGGCCGTGTTCTCTAATATCAGAAGCCGGCTATCGCGTTGGCCCATAAAAACGGAATGTGCATAACTCAATTGACAAGTAGAAATGCCCTCCCATCGTCGTCAACACAAGCCAAACCCTTGGCTATGTGCGGAAGTTGTACAATATAAAGAACAAGAAGATGAAGGGAAAAGTTGGGGGTATCACGAGATGCTCGCTCTAACGTCGGAGCCGTCCTAGCATGTACAGCGGCGGGGACAGGAAAATGAATAAAAAATGGAAAATAAACCCAAACGTCGAACCGCCCCTAGGGAGGATTCTCGACGCAGAGCCGACAGCGACAACACCGGTTCAAGGGTTCAGGGGGTTGGCGGCGGTATCAATCGCTAAGGTCGATGCTCTCCAACCACGCCCTGACTGCTCCCCGCAAGGCACTTTCTTTCTCCCGGCCGGTTGTGCTCCCGTTGCACTGGCCCAACTGTTCGCGGTCCCGCACCTCAGCGGCCTCCCGCACGATCTCCTCGAGCGCAGAGAGTATGACCGTCTTGCATTGTGCCCTCGGGACCTCCTGCGAGGCCGACAGGGCGGCGGGTGCTGGGCGAGCCTCGTCCGACTGCGTCGACTCGCTGTTGCTCCTCTCCCGTATCTTGCTCGCCGACCTCGACGAGGCCGCCGAGCTGCCCTTGCTCGTGTCGGCGCTGAAGGCAATTACCCTCTCGACGGCTTCGATGAGGACTTCGTCCAGCGTGACGATGCGCTCCTCTATGAACTCGTCTTCCGGGGGCAACTCGTATGTCGACGTGGCTGGAGTTTGCAGTGCCGAGTTGTACGTGTTGACGGAGCTCGATAGCGGCGGTGTCCCGCGGTCAATCATTGGCTTCGGCTTGACCAGGCGGCGGTAACGGATGCGGGTGATGGTGAATGTAGTTGTATCAGCGATGATGGCCGTGCTGATATCCATCCATCGCTCCACACTTGAATCACCTAGTATCGGCTGCACTACTATAAACGGAGACGGCTCGGCCCGCAGGGAAGCCTTGACCTGCTCAAGGAGGTCGTCCTGAGCGGGGACCGCCTGGAGCACAAAGTCGGGATGGTAGTGCTGAAGCCAACCAGCCACGTTGAGAGGCTCATCTCCGTCCGTCGACAAACGGCTCGACTGTTCAAAGGCATCTAGAACGGACCCCATGCCTGGCGTAGACAGGAACCCGCTGCTTGATGGAGAACTTACAGCCGTCTCGAAGGATGTCAGATAGTCGGGGAAGGGAACATCAACATCGATAATTCCGTCATCGAGGTTGATCGAGGTCTTCACTGGAGATTCGAAGGCTCCCGATGGGTCGGGAACCCGCTCTGTCTTTGAGGGGGCCACTGGCTCATCCAGCGTGGTTTGAAGATCCACGGTAACTTTGCGAGGCGTTAATGGGGTCTTCAGCCCTGCTGAGGGAGAACTAGAAGCGTCCCCCATCTGTTCGTCAATGGCGCTTCGGGCCATCCGTGCTTCAGATACCATTCCGGACGGCGGCTCTGCCCTCGGCGGGGACTTCTTAATCGGCGAACTAGGCTCATTGCTACGAGCCCCGGGCGTGCTTCGTGCGTCCATGGCGGTGCTTCCGGACTCGCGGCGCCTCGCGCTCCACAGGCCGCTGATCACGCTGCCCCATCGCGAGCTTTGCCTCGAGTCGCTGCTAGCTAGACTGTCCTGCCCTGCGCTATCGTCTCTCGCCAGGCGCTTGAGATCATCTGTAGCCATGCTGCCGCTGCTCCCTGGGCGACGGTGGCGGAAGGCTTCGGACCGGTGAGCGGTCGAGAAGTGCGGTATGCTCGTCTCCGCCGTGATTGCCGCAGCCGCGAAGGCGCTGCTCTTCCTGTTGGCAGGGTCGCTGCCCGGGATGGGCAAATTAGTTGTCCTGATGGACGACGCATCGGACGATCTCCTCTCGTGGCGCCCTTCCATACTGAGGTGTGCCAGGGTTGGTGGGACACCTCCTGCCCGAGCCTGGCCCTGCAGACTGACGTTGCGGGAGTGAGATACCCGCCGTGGCCCTGTGCGGCGGTTGATCTTCCGCCGAAGCGACTCCTCCTTAAGAATGGGCACCACATAGGAAGGCGGAGACTGTGACAAAGTACCGAACGAGGCAGCCGTGCTTGGCCGATGTGCCCGCACATTCGGGACATGTTGGTTCGCTGGCAGGAAAGCCGACAGCAGGAAGACAAGTCGCCTGGCGGCCATCTTGTCGCGAGCCACAATCACGGTTCGCGCCGGTAAGGACGCATCCTCATCTGCCCTTGCCTTTTGCTGGAGGAAGTGCCGCCTGCGATACGATGGCGGAGCCAGAGCCTGGAGCCAATCGGTATGGGTAGCAAGGAATCCCGTCAGAATATTGAAGAAGAAGAAACCCTGCTCTCTTCCGCCAGCCCACTTTGCAATCCACCGAGCCTCCTCGCGCCAGATCCCCCATCGATTTTGACCCGTGACGGCTCGGGTTGCTCGAAGTCCAGCGACAATTCGCGTTCTGGCAAGATCGACCTCGGCGCCAATACATCGGTTCTCCATCAGGCAGTTCGGGAGCAAATTAAGATGCTTCGCGTTCGTCTTGGGAAGCTTGACCGAGGTTCCATCCTCACTTTTCGTGCCCGATAGGGAAGTTGTGCGAGAAAGCTGGTTCGTTGGCTGGGCGACGGGGGATGGGAAAGGGTCGGCGGATGCCAGATCGATATGTCTGAGCATGGTGAAAAGAGTAATCGCAAGGACGGACTGTAGATGAGTCAGTGTCCGCATGATGATGTCCCAATGCTGAGTGATGGCATCCATGCGGTCCTCCATGTCGGTGCTGAATGTCGAATCGAAGGAATCAAAGCCAAATCCTCCGGCCTGGCCGGCCATTGACCAGCCGGAGCGCCGGGCAGAGTTGAACGAGGAGGGGAACGAGTCTTGTTCCGTGTAGGAGCCGGGCCCCCGGAACCCCGATCTCGGCACGGTCGCAGAAGCTATCGGAGCGGAACACCGGGGAAGGTTGATGATCAGGGCGACCGCATACATTGGCGTCCTCTTCTGCTTTGGCTGAGCCTTCTTCTTCTTGGTCTTGCTATCTTCCCCAGTCATGGGGAAGAGGTAGCCAGCGTTGTCGTCCGAAAACCGGTTCTGTGGGGTACTGGCGGCGTCTTCATCCGTCGGCAGGTTTACTGGAAACAACCTCGTTATGAGGACTTTCTTCCGCTCCTGAAGACGCGGCGCTGAGCTTGGCGTAGGTGGCGCGTTGAACGGCGGTACGTGTTCGGAGGAGAAGGATTGGGACAGCCGACTTGATCTCAAATTGGACCGACCAACAGAACCCCTGCCGTCACGAATGATGGAGGCCGAAGACTCGCTGGGCCGCTGTTCCGACGGCACAACATGGACCTTGGTCGAGGTGCCCTTGTAAGCCATGAGCTCCGAGTTGCCGAAGATGCAGCTGGAAAAGGTCGTCAGTTCCTCCCGGTACTCCCTCCAGGCCCGCTGGGACTCGTTTTCGATGAGTGACTGGTTGCGACTGTGGACAGAAGGCCTCCGGTCAAAAGCGCCTTGCCGCAGCTGTGGGCTGCCCGGTTGCACGACCACGGGCCGCTGCCCTTGAGTGAGGCTCGGCTTGCGCGGCGACGTCGGGGTCCGACGGGGTTCCTGGAAAGTGAAGTGTGATGTCCCCGCCATTGTGAAAGGGCGGTCGCCCGAGGACGCTGGAACGGGGGGAGGAGGTTGGCTGTCATACAGCAGAGAAGCAGTGACAGAGCTGAGGGCATCTTGCATGATGATCACGCGGACATCGCGCGCCTCGAGCTCCAGATCGCCGGTATAGTCAAAGGCGGTGGAGGAAAGGGGCGGAAGAGGCGAGGCGCTTGAAAGAGGATACACTTGGTCATGTCTGTGCTGATAGAGGGCCTGGGCATCGGGGAATAGCAAGTTCCGAGTGTGGATGTCTTCCTGGACAGATTCCAAAGATGAGACTGGCTTCTGGGAGGGTTGCGCCGTGGCCGAGGCCCCAGCCCCGGCGCCGGTCCCGAGGTTAAAGAGCTTCCCCAGCATCCTTTTAGGATGCCACGACTCTCAGCAGCGAGGCGGGACGGACACAGAGACGCAGACAGCTCCGAAGTTGTCAGCGGGCACAGCGGTGATGTTCAGCATTGTCCGACGAAGCGGTGACGCGGGGATATTGGATCGCCATGTGGGATGTATGTTTTGTTGGGGGCGAGGGCAGCGTGGGTGACAAGTAATAGAGCCGGTCAGTCAAGGGATGACACCGAGTGTGTGCTTGGTGAGTGAGGAGCCAGTCAAATCGGCCTATGCCGATGTAGACGTGCCAGGGTTGTTTAAGTGGCGCGAATCACAAGCCGAAAGCGGGTGGTCGACCGAGTGAATAGGGTAGAGAGAGTGAGGAGAGAGTGAGAGGAGTTATTTGAAGGCAGGGAAGGGGCTAAGAAGGCGAAAATGATAGCGAGTCTATTTGCAGCTGGGTGCAGCTGAGGGCCTCATCAAGGTTGGGAGAGGTCAAGGGCTGGACGGCGGCCTGACGGGAGGGCGTCGCATAATAAGCTGGGCCAGAAAGTCGCCCCAGACAGCTGCCCCGGGAAATTGGTCGAAACTGACTGGTTGGGCCGTCCGAGTTCTGTGCCGTACGAAGTATTATATCGGGCCAGAAGATGGCCACCTGAGTTGGCGGTTCCACCAACAGGAAATTCTGGATGTCTGAGAGCGACCCTATACGTTGTCTTATCGAGCAGGCATGTCGAGGAGACTGGGAGACAAGAAGACAGGGAAACTAGGAGACTGGGAGACTGGGGGACTGGGAGACAAGAAGACGACGACACTGGGGAGATGCCGCGCTCGCCCGTTCCGCACCTTGCAAGGCCCGAGAAAGGTATTGACGGAGCAAACAGGTAGCTCACGGGACCAGGAACTGGGATTAATAACAAGATTGGAATGGCGGTGACGGGCGAAAACGCGGTCGAGCAAGGATCCTGGACAGTGGGAATTCAGATGCAAATGGTTGGACGAAAAGAACGGTGAAGGCCCATCCTAGCATGGAGTGTTCCAGACTACGAATGAGAATAAGGAACCACGAACGGGGAACATTACCAAGGTAGCAGTAGCATCTCTGGTGCGCATTACATGCATGACTGTTTGCCGGCAACTCAAAAATGGCTACCGAAACGTTTAAACTCATGCTGACGTCTGGGAATTCTACGAAGAGGCAAACACAACCAGCACATAGTGCGGCTGATTTGGCTTTGCAAGTCTGGCCGCACCCAAGTCCACACAACCTCGAGTTGGCGCATGCTAATAATGGAATAAGAGCTGGCTGGCAGTGGGACGTTTCTCCTGGTAGACCAGCACAGTGCGCGCCAAAAGCCGCAGCAGTGTGTACCAGCAGTCTTGCTGTTGGTCACCACAGTTAGATAGGTGTGTATAACTTCAACGTTGCTCCACACCCCACGATTCCTAGTTCCAGTTCCTCGGTCGTTTCCTCCGAAGTGGTTCAGAGTTTGAGGCGTTCCCGGTTTACTTATACCAGGTTCGTTCTGGGGAACAATGCGTTGAGCCAAAATGTAGTGTAGGTGGGTGTAGCGTGCAAGTACGTGCACTTTGCATTTTGCAGCAGCCATGCGCCCTCATCCGACTGCCGCTACAATCTACATTGGCTTCCCGTTACATACAATTAATTCTCAAGCGATATCGTTAGGTTGCATGCAACGGGACCGCATTTTACCCACCGGCAAGGATGTGGAATGACGTTGATCCACTATATGGGGTACTTCCAGCCGGTACCGGACCACAACCTGACTCGATCTCTGGAGGTCAGCAGAGTTTCGGGCAGGGTTAGGGTTGGACCCAAATCGCTCCTCCCCACATCCGCAAGATCAAGGCTGCATCTTACACGTGTTTGCGACCTGTCACAACTTTGCTCCCTTGTACAAGCTAGAAAGAGTGCTACACTCGGCCAATCATGAAATCTCGCCAGACGAAGGTTGACCACAAAAGGAAAACTTCTAGGTCTTGCGTCATCAGCTAACCCCCATCTTAGCGCCTGCTCCTTGCTTTTCTGACCAAACATCGTATGCATCAGCCAAACAGAGTGCAGGCCTGGCTGAACCTCGAGGTTCGCTTGCCTGACCCCCACACACTTTAAACTACAGCGCGAGGGTGTTCCCTTCACAGATCCAACCCCGTGGACCCGGGACCATCTCCGGATCGCATTCAACAACACTACGTCCCGACCAACCTTGTAGACGGACGCGTCCAGTAGTCCAGCCAGGAAAGGGAACCCTAGCCGTGGGTATTGATAACGCCATCGGCAACTCTCCACAGTTATTTATCTTCATGCCGCCGGAAGCGAAATGCATTCACCGAGACTAACCCATCAGCCGACTTTATGTGCCTGGTCGGACCGGACCGCGCTGGACACATGCACTAGACAGGCCAGAACAGGAGTCTGAAGGAGTCACTGGCACACTTGGCATCTGAACTCTGATGGCACGAATAAGTTCCTAGTTGCTCTAATGAAGGGTGTTTGGAGAAATCACACTTGACAACCATGTGCCTTGCTAGCCTCTTCACCCCCATCCAATCTAAGCCGGACAATAGCGGGACAGATATAGCCTTCCTACATCTGTACAGACACCGTCTTGCAGCACATGAGATTGTCGCACAAGCCCTTTCCACAAAGAATCTGGCAGGCTACGCCAGCATCCATCCGACGTCTCCGGATGGACGATGTAGTCGAGGCGGAAGCGCTGACCGTCTCGGACGGGGCCGAGGCCGGGGCGACCAGCTCTGGCTGGATGGTCGCTGAGTGGATTCCGTAGGCATGAAGACATTCACTAACTGTCTTTGCCTTCTCCATGAAGTCGGAGACGCTCTGCTCCGAAACCACTACATGTGCCGACGCGATGGCCTTCTTCTGGTCGAGCCGCCACACATGGAGCTCGTGGACTGATTCAATACCGGGGATCTAGAAAACGCATGTTAGTGGTTCCTCGGGTTGCACGGCCGCGCAGAAACCTGTCTGGGGCTGGCCAGGGATAGATAGACCTGCCTTCTCGAGGTCATGCTTGACATCCGCCAAGTCCACCCCACGCGGGGCGCTCTGAAGAAGAATGGCACCGCTGTGCTTGACCAACGGCAGGGCCGAGAGGAGGATCATGAATGCGATGCCCATGCTGACTCCAGGGTCCGCATAGTAGCGACCTTCGTAGTCCGCGAACCAGATAACGAGCGCGGCGATGATGACCCCCAAGTTGTTGAGTGCGTCACCTATCACGTGGATGAGGACACCCATCATGCCGAGATCCCTTCCGGGGGACTTCAGGTTGGCAATGTTGTGTCGATGCTCGGCGTGGGGGTGAAGAGGCTGCAGAAGATGCGTTAGCCTGGTTCTGGAAACCGAATGTGGATAAACCCACCGTCATGGCATGATCTGCCGAGGATCCGTGGCCATGGGCCTCGACTGACGAGTGCTCGTGGCTATGGCCGTGGCCATGGTCGTGATCATGACTGTGCTCTACAAGCCAACTGATATTAGTCGAAGCCCGCACGTGCAGGGCCTGACACCCACCCAGATGGGCAGGAGCAAGGAGGGGCAGCTATACCATGCAAGAAGGTGGCACTGATAATGTTCAGGGTGAGGCCAATGCATCCCATGATCAGCACCAGCTTTGGCTGCTCGACCCGCTCGAGAGATACGAATCTCTCGATTGACTGGAGGAATATGCTAATTCCCAGGGCGAGCAAGAAGACGCCATTGAAGAAGGCCCCCAACAGCTGGGCTCTCTGCCATCCGAAGGACAGGTCTTGGGGCGACTCGCTACGCTCCGAGATCTGGCAGGGTGTTAACAACCTAGGCTAAGGTGGAGCAGCTGGGCAGGCAGATTGGTGGTATGACATACGATGAGAGCTGTCAATGCTACAATGAAGCCGACCAGGTCATTCATCTAGTGGAATTGTTAGCCTGAGCTTGCTCTTGTAGACAGGCGCAAAGAGGGATGAAATGAAGTTATTTACATAATGAAACGCATCGGCAACAAGAGCCAACGACCTGGTGTAGAAGCCGACTATATGGTAGGGTCAAAATTTAGCCAATACTCATTCATGGAAGTCCTGGATAGAGAGTGTTGAACATACCGGCGATCTCGGCGATGAAGAAGACAAATGAGATGGATATGGTGGCTATCAGCCGCTGCTTCTTTGAGAAGGTGAACTTCATCATGCGGCTGCTCCTTGGAGGTCAGTGTAGGTAGATAAGATAGGTACCTAGATAAGATAGGTGGATACTCTGTAGGTTATGGCATAAAGCTGAAAGAATGTGGTCGCATACACTTTGTTCGTGCAAGTCTTTAAAGTCGAATGAGAAGGCCTAATCCGCTGTGCAGTGGCGTTGTTATGTACCGACGGGTTCCCGACCACGGAGAATATTTTAAGGCAATGAAAACGCTTGAAACATAGAAAGATAGGATGCCAAGAGATATACTGCACGGAGATGTCGGGTGGGACTGCATGGCTGGGCGCAAATACGAACGGCCGAAACTGACGATGAGACGACGAGTAACTGAACCAAAACTCCCTGTGATCCTCGACCCATCACAATGGTCTCGGCCGGCTGTGTGGTTACACGGTACGCCGTTATAAACAACAACAGGTGGAGACTGGGTACCAGCACAAAGCCCAAAACCGCACCTTGCAGAATCGGGTGCTTCTATTTTCGGCCTTTCTTTCTTTTGTTTCACGTTGACGAAAGATTTACCGAGATCTACGATTATGGATCCAATAAAATCGAAATCTCAAGATGCTCGAGGCAATCAACAGAGCTTCGCTGTAACACGGGAGTGACACTTTGGGGAGGACAAGGTCCAAGCTCCCGCAGGGAAGGGGGCGACACCCGAATCCGGCCGGCAGGCGGTGAATAGCAGGTGCCACTCTGGACCAAGTATTCTGCCACTGAGGTGGACATCAATCAGCACGCAACTCAAGAGGAGGACTCACCATGAATTGACAGCAGAGCTGACGATGCACACGTCACGGTTGATGAAGGCAATTGCAGATCTGACAATCCTTCCATGTTGGCGCCCTCGATTCCATGTCGCGCAATGCCTCAACACCATCTCCCGGCCCGCGGAAGGCACCGCATTGGTCGTCCCACCTTCGCCAGCTGAGCAGATCGAGCTTGGATAGATCGTCAGATCAACCCCCTCAATCGCCCGACACCGTGTCGAGCCAGTCCACAATACGCGACCTGTCCTCTTCAAGAAGGGCTCGTATGGATCGAAGATGCACCGTCACGATCAACGACTCTTTCGCCCGCGATGAGGTCCTCCTCAACCTTGACCTGTTGGGGGCCGATATCAAGCCGGGCGGGATGATGGCCATTGATGTTTTGAAAGCAGAAACCGACAAGGTGTCACAGAACATGCTAGGGAAACAACATATTCAGGATCGAGGGAAGGATGCCTCCCCGGCAAGCAACTCGAAGCCTGTTGATGCCCAGAGGCGCTACATTTTCGTGGTAAAGGACATGACAAAGGATCTCAAGGCTCGATATCCGACTGCCGAGGTGTACGTTGCGAAGCATATCGCCGACGTGTTTGGCATGAAGAAAGGTTCACAAGTTCTCCTAACTCCGGTACGACCGACTCGGACCCCATGCGCCTCTGATGCCGTATAACTCACATCGCGCTTTAGATAGATGCCGACAACCCCGCAGTAGAGGCCTCTCATGTGGAGTTGTCCTTCAAGGATCAGTATCTGTCAAGATCTGACATGTGGAGGATGGCTGTCATGGAGCTGTCTGAACGGACAGTGTATAAAGGCCAAATGGTGCTCTTCCTCGGGAGTGTGAAAGCCCAAGTTACCACCGTCTTCGTCGAAGGCCGGAAGGTCCAGTCGGCCTTCTTCGGCCGAAACACGCGGCCCATCTTCCGGAGCGAGTCTGCCCGATACGTAATCTTCATTCAGATGGCCCGAGAGATGTGGGACTTCGACTCGGACGGGTCAGGGGAAATCATGTTCAACAAGGTCGTGAATGGGTTCCTTCCTGCCTTGTTCAAGAAGTGGATATCCCTGAAGGTGAAACACCTGGTGAGCATCGTCCTCTTTGCCAGGGTCGAATATGACACCGGCCTCTCCACCGAGCTTGCCAGTACTGCAGTGCACGACGATTACTACACAGGTACCCAGTCTTCTGGAAAAAGGCGTCCTTACAAGGATTTCTACCGGGTCGTCGTAAGCGAGATGGCGAGCGTTGGATGGACCAAGATTCTCTACCAACTGAAGCGGGAGTTTAACTTCTTCCGACGCGACATATCCGTGCACCACCAGAAGGCGATGGTTTCCTCCTCAATGTCTGATGATAACTCCGGCAAGGAAACCGCCTCCAATCGGATCAAGGCTGAACCGTCGAGGGCGATATATGGCAACCTTCTTGAGGCCATCAACATGGCAACGACTGTATTTGCGCACGACTATATTGACCGGGACCTGATGCGGACCGGGGTGTCGATCATCCTGATCACCCCGAGCCCCGGCGTATTCGAGGTGGACTACGACTCCTTGCAGAGAACCACCGAGGCTCTGGCTGGCAACGGAATCGGGATCGATCTTATCTGCGTACCTAAAATCCCTCTCCACTCGGTCCCCCTATTCCGCTACAGGAATCCTCTTTACCATGACAACTCGCACAACAAGCCGAGGTTGGTTATCAGCCACGGAAGTACCCCACGGCAGGGCACTCCCGCTGTTGGCAGCTATTCCAGCTTTTCCGCCTCCTTCTCGCCCAGCAAAGGGACTGACATCACCTTGCGTGGCGACTCGTTCGCATCCAGCGCTTCCAGGGATGAGTGGTGCTTTGCGCTTCCCCACTGGCTGCATGTATCCTATTGGACCGGCACCGCCGAGGAAGCTCTTTCGTATCAGGGTATTGCCGTGTCTGTGTCAGACACGTCCCAGAAGCAAGACGACGGCGAGTTCACGATTCGATGCAGAATGTATGGCTTGCAGATGAGGAGCGTGTTGGAGACAAACGAGATAGAGACAAGCCTGATGTATACAGATCCCGACTTCCCGCTCAAGGGGCTGAATTCCGGATACATGTCTAGAACCCCAAGGCCGAACGACCAGCAGTCCAGGATCAGAAACACCAAGGTTCCACAGACCCTATTTGATCATGTGTACGGATTCCAGAAGTTCGCCCCTGATAAAAACTCCAAGTTGGGGGCAAAGTCGTTATGGAGGCAGCTCCAGGACTACGACGAGGCAAAGGCACGCTTGCCTACGTCGCGGAAACCCAGCTTGCGACCCATTTTTCGCCGAGATCTGGATGATGTCCCGAGACGACAGCACCTGGAAGACAGCGGACCTCTAGGGTCATCTCTCACTGAGAGGAAGGGCTCGGTAAGCACCCTGGCAATGCCAAACGTGCTGTCGTCAACAGGCTGGGAGCCGTCCGAGCGGCCCGGTCCGTTTGTATCGAATCCGCACCCGGTGTCAGAGACGAATCTAAACTCGAGCCTATCTCCGACGAAACCCCCGAGATTCATACGACAGATTAGCATTGGCCACCGAGGCTTTGGTATAGCTCCGCCGAAGGCGGCAGTAGCAGAGCTGAGCACCGAGACTGTCAGTGCATCGCGATCCGGCGCTGCGCCGAGCTCCGCGGCGACACCAGTCAAGGCCCCCAAGCGCCCGGCTTCGCGTCAGACAACCTCTAGTGGTTCCTTGACACCTTACGCGCAACCGTCGGGGCAGCAGGGGCAGCAGACATACAACCAGGAATCGCAGTTCCTCGCAGAGACCCCAACTCGACCCATCGTGATCAGGGGGGATCAGCATTCGTTGGATGGCACTCCATATGTATTAGGCTCCAGACTGGCCTCAACGCTTCGAGCGGAATACCCTGTTGAGGAGAGGGACGTGAGACACTCAAACGCCATTAGAGCAGACGACGCCCAGAAGGTCTACAACTCGAAGCTGCTTGCTGGGGCCCTGCCTGAGCTGCCATCGACATTATCACCGAGTGCGACTCGCTCCCCCTGGCTGACGGTGCTGAACCCTTGCAACCCAGATGCCAATCGGGTTGACGCGTCGCAACTGTACAGCCGTTGGCAGCACGTCTTTCCCCGGCCCTCGGAGATGAGGATCATGAAATGGAAATCCCTATGTTCCCCAGCAGCGGTCCCCCTGACTACCGAGTACTTCCCCACCAGAGAGCAGTTCGATTCGGAATATCAGCGGCAACCTTACAACGTATCCCAAAACGTGGATGACGAGCTGGACGAGGAGCTCAAGTCGCGCGGTGAGTTGCTTCGGGAGCTGGTGGGCCTGAGGTTCTCTCAGGGGTTCCAAGTTGTCATTGGCTCAGCCGTCGCAAAAGCCTCGGGCCAGAAACAGCTCAAGATTGCCGACATGTTTTCTCGCAATCACACGCCGGAGGACGGCACGAGCATTTTCATGTCGGTCGGCAACACCATACATCAACTCTCGTGCGTCAACGACACCGAGGTCGAAGTGAACATCTTCAGTCGCAAGCCCACGGAGACCGTGCAGCATCTAAACGAGTTGAACCGTCTATATAAGCCAGCGATTCGCACACTTTTAGATAGTGGTTATGAGACGATCGCGTTTGATGCCGGCATGCAGAGATCTGTCAGGAACTGGAACTATATCGATGCGTACATTGCTGGGCACAATGACCAGCTGACCGAGGATCTGAGGTTCTGGCGGGCGAGATTCGTCCTAATACCGACCGTCGACCGGAGCGCTTTGCTTTTGGGGCCGCATACCTCCGACAACGAGGAGGAGATTCGCCTGGAAGGCATCAGAAAGCTTGCTCAGCTCTGGCTGAAATTCCGCTATGTCCCGCCTGACGAGAGACGCTTCCAGGGCTCAGCGAATCGGCAGACGAAAGTCCAAAATCCGCTCGACATTGTTTATAGGACGGAAGAACCCTCGGAGGTCATCGCAGCAGAATTAGAGACACTGCCTCTTCTGGAGGGTCTCGAGGGCGGCTCCAGGAAGGGGCACCTCCTGACGAGTCGGCAGCGATTCGAGAAGAAGAACTTTAGCGTGGCTGCTTTGGCAGAATCCATACAGCAGCCCGTCGAAAACGGCGGGGTGCGAATGCAGAATCGCCGATGGCACCTGCGACTCCACTATAACTGCTTTATCGGTTCTGACATGACGAGCTGGCTCCTGGACAACTTTGAGGACTTGGAAGACAGGGAGGAGGCGGAGGCACTGGGGAAGAAGCTCATGGTCGCAGACGAAGACAGGGCCAAAGACAAGGACAGGGATCCGTCAAAGGAGACCAAGAGGGAAGGCGGGCTGTTTGTCCACGTGGAGCGACGACACCCTTTCAGAGACGGGCAGTACTTTTACCAGATCAGCAGCGAGTATGCCAAGCCGCATCCCCCGGGCTGGTTCAACACGAGGCGGAGGGAAACGGTCGCTCCGCCTACACCGCTCTCGGAAACCATGTCTCCCCGGCCAGGGCTTCGGCCGACCTCGATACACGAAGAATCATCGCCCATATCCGGCGCCGCTACGCCAACGCAACCCGTCATGAGCGGCAAGAAGCCGCGAGTGGTGCTGAGCAAGATGATAAAGTACGATGTCGACCACCGGAAGCGGTCTTACCGGCCCGAGGTAATCGACCTGCACTACGACCGGCTCCACAACCCGGATAACTGCTATCATATCAGGGTGGACTGGATGAACGTGACGGCAAAACTCGTCGAAGACGCTATCGAGGGCTGGGCGAGGGAGGCGGGTCAGTATGGCCTTCGACTCGTCGAGGTCCCGATCGCCGAAGCATGCACCATCACCGGGACCAACCCGTTTCGGCGTCCGCATCTGGCCAAGCTAGCATTGCCGCCGCCGGATCAGCAACCAGCGACCTACTTCGACCCCACCTCATTCACACCCCGGACCCAGCCGGGGAGGCACTTCTACCAGAAGGCCATCCTCAAGAAGTTCGACTTCATCCTCGACGTCGAGGCAGCCTCCAATTTCCCCAGCAACGTGGACGTATCGTACTCGTGGGGGAAGCCCGATTTCAAGTATACGCAGTACATCCACCGGTCTGGGGTTTTACTTGCCGAGATCACCGACGAGGGCGACTTCCTCCTGTTGGCGAACAGGCTCTACGGTCACAGGGCGGCATCGGTGAGGGAGAAGGAGATACAGAAGGAGATGAGGAACGAGCAGGGCACCATGGAGCGCGGCGGGCCCCCTCGCATGCAGCAGTTGAGCTCGTACACCCCCTATGGAGTCGCGGATACGACACCGGTCTCCTCCCCGCTCGCCAGACCGGCCCTCTTCGCATCTCCTGCCCTGAGGCCTGTAGCCACTCCCCCACCCGCAAGCGAGCCCGCCGCCGGCGCCGGGCCGCAGCAGCAGCAGCAGGCCAAGCCCGCCTCGACGCCCGTGGAACCCGAGGCGATCAAGGACGAGCTCGAGGCGTTCTGCCGGGACACGGCCGCCCTGGACGCCTTCTACCGGGAGGTTCTCGAGCGGGCGACGGCACAGCAGCAACAGCAACAGCAACAGCAGCAGCAGCCAAGCGCGACACCCAGCGTCGGCGCCACGCCCGCGCCGTCCGTGGGACAGGGCGGCGTCCCGGACACGAGCATTCCCACCCTGGGCCTGCCGCCGGGCATAATGGCGGCGGCGGTAGGCCCAGACGCGGTCGGGAGCCCGCGGGTGGGCAGTCCCGCGCTCATGTCGGCATCGCAGCTGCTGCGGCGGGGCAGCGTCCAGGACGGGATATTGGGGCTGCGGCTTGGGGGCGGGGGTGGAGGTGGTGGTGACGGCCGCGGCGGGGATGGCAGGGAGAGGCCGCAGGGATGATGGATGATGGATGATGGGTATGGGGGCCATTGGATTTGGCTCTGGCAGGGGGGCCGGAAATTGTATGCTGCGGCTACGAGTGGGCAGTGTATTTGTAATATCTGTAACTAACTATATTAATGTCAAGTGTGTTATGTACGGTTGCTGATTCTGATTCTGCCATGTATCCGCTGGAGACACGAATCCCAGACGTGTACCTAGGGCGCAGGGAAGATGGATGATGATCAGCAGACATCCTGGTGTCAGACGTCAGATGTCGACGATGACGAAAACAGCGGTGAACGAGACCCGGTCAGAGTACAGATTGGTCAAATAACTGGTGGTGGTGTGTTGTTCGACTGGGTAGACGATGTTTGGTCGAATTCGCGTTGCTGGGCCGTGCCACCTCGGGTTGCCAAAAACAAGCGGCAGATGGGCCAGCCAGCAGGGAAGGAGGAGGCCTCCTCTGAGTGGGCCGAAATGCAGGGACCAACTAGGTACCTAAGGTATGCGATGCGATTGCGATCGTAGCTGCGACTGCGCGGCGTGAGTATTGTACAGTTGTACCTACTGTAGTCTAGGTCTAGATGATAAAGAATTCCAGGTGAGAATTAATAACTCATTCAGGGAAAATAGTGGAATGGGAGGTCGAGACAAGCAATCCTGCCGAGAAACTCAAGCTTTCTGGCCTTTCTTGGCAGCAGTCCCGTTTGCCACATTGCCAACATCATCCGCCTGATCTACACATTCACCAACAGATAGATGTCGTAGTTTTGCTCGGCGATAGGTTTTATGAAACGTTGAAACAAGCGATTGGGGTAACCAAACTGCTGGCATCCATGGCTTAATGACATGCGTCTTGTATCTTTGTACGACACTCTGGTCACTTGCGATTGGGTGAGCGTGGAAGTGGCTTCGATCGCCCATTCACCCTGTCATGGATGATCATAGCGCTGCAGCAGGGCGGCCGCCACCAAAGGGCCAACAAGTGACGCTCACCTAGTAACTTTGCTTGAAACGGGCATGAAGGTATGCGGGCGGCCAGACGATCTGCTAATAATACCTGAAATTACGGATACTTGCTGGCTGGTATCTGGCTTCTGCCATAAATAAAACCTGTCCCCTTTCTTCGTTGCAAGCAACGAGTCTCCCCCATTGAAGAAAATCTTCCGAGATAAATTTGCTTCCCTGCATTCCTGCACCACTGCAAAGCTTTGTGCGTCCTGCTTGCATGCAGCAGGCGAGGACCAACTACGACGAAAACGGCCAGACATCCCAACAACCCAAGATTTAGCCCAACAGCCCCAGATCTGCCTCACCGCAGGCCCGTCACCACAGCCCAAAAGGCCAATTCACACCGCAAGGGAGACCACATTGAGAAGACGGAGCAGCACTGCGCAAATAGGGCTGAAGACACCTACTTAGTGCACGTGGATTTGGGTATGTTGACCCATAATCATCAGCAGGACATTGGAGGTGCCAAGTCGGCTAACTAGTCATTAGGAATATTATTGGGAGTTGATTGGGTTCTCGGACCTTGTTTCCATACATTCTGCAAAGGAAAGCAACATGTCTTGTGAGTTAACTGGGCACGCCCACAAAAAAGTTCCCCATTTCCGCGTAGCCCCCCCTTGCCCGTGATCCTTCTGGGCCAATTGCTCGTTTGCCCCATTCAATCACTCCGTTTCCGTCACCATTTCGCCTTCGACATCAACATTCTCTTGTATCCTTTCCCATTTCTCTTTCACCTTCGTTCCAGCTGTGTGTGGTCAAAACCCGGGGCCTTTTGCCACACACCCCATCCTGTTGACATGGCCCTTTCCGCCTCGCTGATCTAACCCGCCCATCTGCCACATCTGCCCAATATACCCTCCAATTGCGTTGCGACTCTAATGCCATGGCGCCCGCAGTCAATGCCTACCGGATCAAGAGGGAAGCGCATGCCCTGAGTCGCCAACATTCCGGCTGGAGCCCGTTCAGTCACAGATGGGCCATACCGCCGCGCAGCGACACGTGGAGTGGGCGGAGTCTCGAGGAAGGGGAAGGCGACGGCGAGAATGGAGTGCCCATCCAACATGCGAACACCGCGCCGGCCTTGAGGCCGACCGCGGGCTTCTCGGATGACGACGCAAGACCGAGTACGAGCAAGGAACAAGAGCTGCAGGATGACGATCCAGGTCGGCGGGGAAGCACCGCAGTCGTGGGGGAATCGTCGTCATCCACATCCCAGCAGGACGGCCTGCGGCACAGGAAGGAGAATGGCAAGGCCGCCGTCTCGGGACCGCAGGTAGCCGGCCCCGAAGCCGAGAGCAAGAAGATCGCCCCCGAGCAGACCAACAGATATTTCAAGAACGTGCAGCCGAAGACTCCATTCACGGTTGGGAACCAGCTCCAGCGGACTGTGTTGAACTCGTATATCAACATCCTCCTGGTGGCTGCCCCCGTCGGCATCGCGCTTAACTATGTCCCCGCGGTCAACAGGATTGCCGTCTTCGTCATCAACTTCATTGCCATCATCCCGCTCGCCGCGATGTTGAGCTTTGCGACCGAGGAGATCGCACTACGGACCGGCGAGACCCTCGGCGGGCTTCTAAACGCCACCTTCGGGTACGTGCATCGGTCGATCGACCCTGATCCAGGGTCGGCCGACTCCCACTGTCCACGAAGAAAAAAAACCCCCTCCGCATTGTGCTGATTAGGTATATACAGGAATGCTGTGGAACTCATTGTTGCCGTCATGGCCTTGACCCAGAAGCCGGCCAAGGTTGTCATTGTCCAGACCTCGCTAATCGGCAGTATCTTGTCTAACCTCCTGCTGGTTATGGGCATGTGCTTCTTCTTCGGCGGGCTCCGAAGACAGGAGCAGTTCTTCAATACCACCGTTGCGCAGACTGCCGCGAGCCTCCTCGCGCTAGCGGTTGCCAGCATCATCGTCCCCACCGTATTCGACCACAATACGGCCGACTCGGCCGATGTCAACGTCCCGGCCCTCTCGAGAGGCACCTCGGTTATCACCCTGATCGTCTATGGCGCCTATCTCCTCTTCCAGCTCAAGACCCACCAAAAGATCTTCAGCGAGGAGAGCCAGAAGGTTCCCGCGAAGCCCTTTAAGCATTCTATCAAAGACGGTGCCGTTATGCAGGGCATGGTTAACCCCGCAGCCTTGATAGGGGCCCACGGCCTCTCGTCGGACCCGGAGGAGCTTAGGAAGATGCTGCTCACTGCCAACCCCCACGCGGCCGCCGAGGACCACGAAGAAGAACCGCAGCTCCACTTCATAGTCGCCATCGCGACGCTCACCATCTCGACCGTCATCATCGCCTTCTGCGCCGAGTTCATGGTCGACTCGATCGACGCCGTCACCAAAAATGGCGGGCTGAGCGAGGAGTTCGTCGGGCTCATCCTCCTGCCCATCGTCGGCAACGCGGCCGAACACGCGACGGCCGTCACGGTCGCCATCAAGGATAAGATGGACCTGGCCATCGGCGTCGCCGTCGGGTCGAGCATGCAGGTCGCCCTCTTCCTGATCCCCCTCCTCGTCATCATCGGCTGGGGCATGGGCATCGACGAGATGACCCTCAGCTTCGACATCTTCCAGGTCGCAGTCCTCTTCGTCTCCGTCCTGCTGGTCAACTACCTCATCGCCGACGGCAAGAGCCACTGGCTCGAGGGGATGCTCTTGATATGCCTCTATTTCATCATAGCCGTCTGCGCCTGGTGTAAGTTTTATCCTTCTTCTTCCCCCCCAGTATCCTCCCCCCCCGGGAGCAAGTACACACGGGGGCCATCACTAACTTCTTTTTACTTCAGGGTACCCCTCCCGTGAGAGTTCAGGCACAGCGGGGGAAGTCACATTTTCTTGAATCTCTTTTACTGCGTTCGCCGGCCAAGTGAGCTAGCCAGCCTGCCTTGGTATATAAAACCGACACAACACGCTCGCTTAATCGTATGTACATCTGTATAAGTTCTTGCTTTGTACACTATCACATCCATACCCCTTGTATTATAACCATTCTTCAAAGGGAGGGAAGGTCCCACCTAGAACAACAACATGGGGCCAAAGTAGAAGAGGGTTCTGGGTGGAGTTTTTTTTGGCGTTCCGCCTGCCCTGCTTCCCAAGATACACATCTCACGGCATTGCTTTTCATCGCTACTCTGCGGGTCTCTTTTCTTTGTTTTGTTTCATCGTTGCCTTTTTTTTTTAGAAAAAAGGGAGGGGAGGGGGTAGGGGGCTGGCTTTATTTGTCTCGTTTCCCTCTTCATTTTCACTTTGACATTGGCATTAGGGCATAGACAAGGAAGGAGAAGAGAAGCTATGATTCAGGGAGTGGGTATTGACAGATTTGCCACAAATCCGCATACAAAAATAGGAATACCCATTTCCTTGTTTTTTCTTGATTTTGTTTTCTGCGTCCATGCGCTGGAGTCTCTCGCAAGGCGATTAGGAGACCTGGACTCTTCGTAGTAGTACTGGAATTCCTTGGGTGCCGAGCTTATCCTAAAGCTTCAAGGAACGTCCTTGGTAGCCCATATATGCACTTGCTATGTACGTGAGTTCTAATGCCGTATCCGTTCGGGGTTGCTTCATTACTGGCGCGGCAGATTGGGGCTATCACACGGGCGATGGGGTGAGGCTCTTCAAGTAAGGCAGGCTGCTAGGCATAACATGGGAATCTAGGCTCTTCAAGTGGAATAAATACAGCTCCAAACCCAGCCCGACCATCGATATCAATTTTAACCCCTCCCCTACCAAACCAAGCGCGCCAAACCCACGGCCTCCCCATGGTCGTGACCCGGCCCGGCCCCCGTCTTCGTAGGAACGACCACACCCCTCCCACGCGTGCCTCACCTCCTCGGCTTGCCCCCCTTGCCGCCCCCCCTCTTGGCCGGCCGGGCATTCTTGGCCATCTTGAGCTCCTTGACCCTCCTCTCCCTGCGGATCGCCTCGGCGTCCTTGACCTCCCCGGCCTTGCCCGCGCCGTCCCTGTACTTGCCGACGCGCTTCTCCTTGGCCTCGGCCACGCGCTTCTTGCGCACGTGGTAGTCGTCGCGGAACTTGTCCGCCTCCTTGGGCGCCGTGTCGGCCGTGTGCCTGAACCGGAACCCCCCGGGCCCCTGCTGCTGGCCCCCGCCCGTCGCCGCCTGCAGGCTGCGGGCCAGGCCGACGCGCTCCGCCTCGCCGACCTGCGGCAGCTTGCCGAGGCGGTGGGCGCGGCGCCACTTGTCGAAGCGCCCGCTCTGGAAGCTCGCCGCGATCTTGACGCCGCTCTCGCCGCGCACCATCCTGGCGCCGCGGGAGCCGTCCTCGTCGTTGGCGTTGGCCACGTACTTGCTCTGCTTCTTGTCCCAGCGCATGCGCGCCCGCGTCGGCTCGCCGAACGCCTTGGCCCCGTCGTCGTTGGTGAGGTCCATGGTCGCGTGCCGTGCCTCCTCCACGAAGCTGTTGGCGTTTTGCCCGCCAGAGTGCACCCCGTAGCCCCGCTCGTCGGCCGCGTTCAGCGTCCGCGGCGTGTACGACATGAACACCTCCGGGTCCTTCCACGACGCCTCCCCCTTTCGGGAGGTTGCCGTGTTCGACACCGTGACTTCTAGCTCCTCCTCGTCTGATTCATCCTCGGCCTCGGCAACCTGCCCAGCGACGACATCTTCATCGCTCTCGGGATATCCGCCGCCCATGGTGGCGTCGTCGGCGTCGTCGTCATCGTCGTCGTCGTCCTGGGGCGGCAATTTCTTGCCACCGTCCTCCTCCTCCGCAACGGCGCCGTCCTCTCCCTTGCGTCTTCGGGGCCCGACCCATGTCCGGATATTCCGCATAATCTCCGCGGGCCGGTTATGAGCTGACTTGCCTCTCGGGCCGATCTCGAAGATGGTCTCCTGCGGCTTGAAGCCGCTGATCTGGGCGAGCATCGTCGACCGAGCCTCCTCGATGTCCGCGGCCTCCTCGTCGAAGATGGGGTGCAGCTGCGACCAGGCTCTGGACCCCACGAGCTCTCGGGCCCTCCTGGCGCTCTGGGTCGAGGCCGAGTTCCTCGTCTTCATGTACAGTTTTTCTGCCTTGACAGAAACACCGCGCAGGGCGTTTATGTCACTGTTTTCGTCCAGGATCTTGTTTACCCATTCGACATTCGTTTCGACCTCGCTTCTTTTCAGGGAACCGACCACGACGTCTGCGGCGAATGAGCGGTCGCCGCTGTCCCGGCCGATAACGAGCTTTCGACCAAGGAAGAGCTGAAGATCCAGGAGATACGGCGCATCAGCCTCACGAACGAGGCTATAACTCCAACCCGCCTTCCCGGCACGAGCGGTCCGGCCTACTCGATGAACGAAAATCTTGGGCTGGGGAGGGAAGTCGTAGTTGATGACGTTGGCCAGGACAGGAATGTCGATACCTCGCGCAGCAACGTCAGTCACCACAAGAATGTTGGACTGCCCTCTCCGGAAATTCTCCACTTGGATCCTCCGCGCTGTTTGGTCGAGTGATCCGTAGACGTACGACACCGCAAATCCCGCGTGCTGCAGCAGAGTAGCTAGGTACTCCACGTGGTGCTTAGTCGCCGCGAACACGATCGTCGAGTGCTCGGTCGGCTTTGGCCTCTGGTACGAGACGTCACCACCACGCTTTCGCTTCTTCGAGCTCATTTCCGATTCCGTTTCGGCGCCCTCCGGCAAGCCCAGCGGCATTTTGATGACATCGTGCAGGATGTGCAGCAGCGCACCCTCTTTCTCGCCCCCCTTGACGGCAAAGAAGCCACTCTCGAGATCGGGCGATACCTTGGTCTCGGCGTCTAGTCTGATCAGCGAAGGATCCTGCAAGCCGGCCCGAGCGAATTCCACTAGGGAGCTGGGTAGAGTCGCGGAAAAGAGCAACGTCTGCCTCGAGGCGGGCAAGGCGTGAAGGATTTCGGTTAGCTGCGCCGCGAAACCCATCTCGAACAGCCGATCTGCCTCGTCGAAAACGACGTATTTGATCGAGTACAGGCCTAGGGACATCTCGACTTTCAAGTGGAGGAAACGGCCGGGGGTGGCTATGATTATGTCGGGGTTTGACGCCATGGCCGCGAACTGCTCCTCAAGACTGTCTCCTCCGACCAGCAAAACGGACTTCAGGTCGGTTCCTCTGCCAAACTCCTTGACTACTTTCAGAGTCTGTATAGCGAGCTCTCGCGACGGCGACATGATGAGGGCTCTGGCTCCGACTCTCGCGCTGTGTGCCCTGAGTCTCTCGATCATGGGGATGACGAATGCAGCAGTCTTTCCAGAACCCGTCCGCGCCATTCCAACAACGTCCTTCCGGGCCATGATTAGGGGAATCGTTTTTCGCTGGATAGGAGTCGGGACGGAGTAGCCCTTTCGGGCGATGGCTTTGAGTAAGTTGGGGCCAAGGCCTGGAAGATACGTGAGTATGCTGCCGCCTGGTTTCAAAGACCTGCTCTTGCAAGAGAGAATACAACAACATACCCATTGACTGGAAACCGCCTCCCTTCTTCGCAGTCTTGCCCTTGAGGTTGGTGGTTTTCCTGAAGGAAGCCGCCTGCCGGAGGGCGATGAATGCTTCGTCCCCCCCATCTTCATCGGATCCATCGCCACCCCCTGTATTCAGAAGGCCCTCAAAATCAAGGTCATCGCCATTCACTGCTGGTCCTCTACCCTGTTTACTCAAGCCGGTTTCAGCATCGTCGATGAATAGGGACCCAACGATGTCAACCTCATTCTCGGACGGGGTTGGAGATGGCTGTCGTGGAGCCATGGTGAAAGTGATGCACCTCCTTTATTAGTAGGGTGCCTCAATGGTGCTGTCACTTCTAAATAGGTGGGTAGAATGGAACGGCACCTTGACTTCCATTGCAGTCGGCGATTGTCCAGTCCTAATTTTTCGACACGGACAGGGCTGAACTTTTTTGGTGGGGCACTTCCTTATCTCTTATCTAACAGAGCGCATGTGCATGGGGTGAACAACAACTGACAACTGACAGTACTTTGGGGTTATCGGTGATCTCAGCAACGGCGTCTCACTCCTTTCTCTGTCGCCTCTCCTCCTCACGGCGTTTATTTTTCTTATTGGCACCCCATTTCCCCCAGGTTTTGCAGTTAGTTGGCGGAGCTCAGTAGAAGCTGTGCACAGAGGGAACCAGACAAAAAGATGGCGAATAATGATGAGAAAACCGTCGTCGATACCAGGGATGCGCTCGAAGTGCTGGAGTCTGAGGCCAAGGAGTGGGAGAAAGATGCAGAGATAAACCGAATTCTACAGGCATTTCGCCTAGATGCGTAAGCATGAGCCCCTCGCCCCTGACCTATCACCCCTAAGCAGGGTATCACAACCTAGCATCCCTTTCATCGACTGACAACAGCGCGCCACAGTTACGCCGTCCTCGGGCTCAAGCCCGGCGTCCCCGAGTCCGACATCAAGAACATGTATCGCAAAAAGTCCCTGCTGATCCATCCGGACAAGACCAAGAACCCGCAGGCCCCCGACGCCTTCGACCGGTTGAAGAAGGCCCAGACGGAGCTGATGGACGAGAAGCTGCGCACCAACCTGGACGAGGCCATCGCCGACGCGCGCATGCTCCTGATGCGCGAGAACAAGTGGACGGTCGACAGCCCCGAGCTGAAGACCGAGGAGTTTGAGAAGAAGTGGGCCGACAAGACAAAGTTCGTGCTGATCGAGAACGAGCAGCGCCGCCGGCGGCAGGTCAAGGGCCAGATGCAGGACGAGGGCCGCCAGCAGCGCAAGGAGGACGAGGAGCTCGAGGCGAGGAAGCGCAAGAGGCAGCACGAGCAGGACTGGGAGGCCACGAGGGACCAGCGCATCGACAGCTGGCGGCAGTTCCAGAAGTCAAAGTCTGGGGGGGACGGGCCGGAGAAGAAGAAGAAGAAGAAGCTGAAGCCGATCGGTTGAACCGTTGAACGTGGGGCTGGGGCACGCTTTCTACACTTTCATCCCGTCAATATTGCAGGCGCATATCGGGGATAGGGATCACAGTCGACGATCCTAGGTGAACCCAGGGCTACCGTGAGCAACGGAATAGTGAGTTGAGCAGTGAAAACTACGTTGCCATCGGGCCTAACCAACCTAGAATTGCCGTCGTTTCCTACCCTGAGACTCCCAACTTGCGAGGCACAATCTCTCTTGTTCGCAATTCAAGACCATGATGGAAGGGCAATCGCATCTCGCTCCGTTGGTCTGTTCTGGCGCCGTCGCCGCTGATGGCTACCGTGGCCAATGTCATGGACTATACTAGCAGTGGAGGAGGGTGCAAACAAAATCCAATCATGACGGGATCGCGATCTGCCTAATTTCTTGTCCTTGTATAAATCCGACGGAATGGCATACCCAGCTTCTTTGCTATAGTCAACCAAGATTATGTGATCCAGGCGGCGCCGCGTCATAGCCAAGCGCTTCATGTCTAGTTACCTAGCTAGGCACCCCAGCTAGAGTGAAGCTTGGAAACCTTCACACCGAGAGGTGGTTGCTGGGCGCCGTCTATGGTGCGTGCTTTTGCTTGTACTTTATAAATCTTCCGAGGTTCAGCACCACCTCATCCGCCCTTGATCTCAGCTCGCCAAATCGTCTCTTGTCGATCGACTTGGCCATCGACTTTACCTTCGGTGAGATCTCTTCCAGGTGCTTGAGGAGGTTGTTTTTCCAGAACACTTCCTTGTCGTATTCGAGGGTCTCGTCCCCGTACATGTCGAACAGTTGATTGAGAGCCTCTACGGCGTCCGCTGCAGGGGTCTCTGGGAGGCCGTTCAACACAACCATCAGGAAGACGCCAATTTCTCGGTTGAGGGCAACCGGTGCGGGATCTCGTGCGAGTTGCCCGAGGACCCCGATGCATTTGACTCCAATGCCCTGGAAGGGATCTTCGGGGCCTTCCGAAGCCTCGCCCGACCCTACCACGTTCTCTTGGTCAAGGCTCTTCGAGGCTTGATAGAGGGTCATGAACTTCCGATACTCGTCGCCTGTCAAGGGCACGTTGCCGTTTACGCTGCGAGCAATGGCCCATGCCAGACTTGTAACCAGGCTCGCAAGGTTGACATCGGCGGTGTCTGACGCAAGAATAGGTGCCACCGTGTTCGACCAGATTTTCTTCGCCGCTGGAGCCCATAGGCTGTAGATTCCGGCGTTCTCGCCGTTGGCGAAGTCGAAGCACGACATGGTCCAAGCAAGGTTGTTGAGTGCCGACAAGGCATGGCCCTGCACAGCAATTGCTTCGTCGCTGTCCAGTGGGATTTGTGACCATTTGATCATTTGGGGGGTTGCCTTTTGTACCAGCTCCCTGAGAGTCGGCAGGGCATTTATACCAGATGCACCCGACTCCTCGTGATCTGTTCCGGTTACCATCTCCATGTCGGCTTCCATCTCGTCTTGGTCCATTTCTTCGCTATCGTCGTCGTTATCGTCTTCATTATCGTCTTCGTCGGCCGACTGCTCACCCTCGATCTCGACACCTGCGTCATCTTCGTCCATGGCATCGGCATCGGCATCGGCATCGTCGATTTCATTCCATTCCCCCTTGGCCTTCCCACCGTCTCCCGCACTGTTCGCCTTCTCCAGGGTGCTTTGTAGGTCCGTCCCTATTGAAGCCAGGATCTCCAAGGCTAGCTCCAACACCTCAGATGGGCTTGAGCCATGGGTCCCGTTTGTTGTCTGTTGACGTAACGATGTTTGACCTAAAACTCTTGCTAGAACTGGGATGAGGATGGCATCACATGCGCCATCTTGGCCAGGGCTGTGGTCTTGCCATTGCAACGAGTAGAAGATATTGTGGAGGACCCCGCAGGCAGCTACTGCTCTCGAGCCGGTCCCTTCCTTGAATTTCAGAAGATGCTCATAGAAACGAGTGTCTCGGTCGTCAATGGCAGCTTGCCCGAAGTCGAGGTTCTCTTCAGACAGCGTCATTAAACACGAGAAAACCTCGTCTAGGAGATCTGGGGATGTTGCCTCATTTGTAGCCAGGACGAAGAGAAAGTGAAGAATTGATCGATTGGCAACGATGGTCTCTAGGGCCTCGTCTCTGGCAACAGCCAGAGCAGTCAAAAGTGAGACCAGTGCCGCGGAGATATCCCAGACGACCTGCTGCCGTGCCTTGGGCGTCTTGCCGAAGGGCGGCTCTGAGGCGGCTAAAGCGTCGACCACCTGTTGAGCGAGTCAGCCTCTATGCAAGGCTCAAGATGTGATAGTGCCAATGTAAATCACTCTTGTCAAGGACCGGACTGGACGAATCTCATTGAAGAACCGGTAAACTTACAATCTTGCCAGCGTGTTCGATCGCAGTGAGGACATCGAGTCTGTATAAGTGAACGCAGAAGTCACTCTCTTCCTCCTGGGCCAGGACCCTCAATATCTCCCACCCAGCGGCCCGACTTTCAATGCTGTTATCCGTAAGGGTCTGGGTGAGAATGATGGGAACCACTTGCTCTCGAAGGAGCAGTTTCCGGCACTTCACATCCTGGATGATGTTTGCAATAGCTCCGGCCGCCGCCGTTCGTGACTTGGGCTCGGGACTCTGTAAGTCCTTGATCACGGGAAGAATGCGGGCTTCTCGAAGCGCAACCAGTTCCGGATCAGACAGAGGCTTGACAGGTTTTGTTATGGGATCAGAGCGGTTAGCCCGGTTCCTATTTCGCCTTGATTTCCCCATGATTAGGAAGCTTTCAAGCTGTGTTGTGAGTGAGGGCGTGAGGCCTTACGTCTGAGAATTCTTCGAGTGAAAAAGATAAGATAATTCAACGTGGGGTCGTGCCCCACCATGCCTGCAAAGAAGAGAAGGGTTATCCTTGTCATCGCCTCGATAAGCAATTATACACTAGTGCTTTAATCCGATTTCTTAAGGTTCCATCGCCCGTAAATTATCCGTTTTAAAGCCTGTAGGTACTGTACCTAGGTAGGTGGCCGGAAGCAACACATGAACCCAGCCTGTGGTATTAGCGGCCGTCATGATCTGCAGGGACGAGAGATGTGAACTTCAGACCTGCCTGCTCCCCATCTGCGAATAACGCTGCGCACGCCCCGCCGTCCCGCATCGCGTCTCCTAGCCTTTTATGCGCTTCGGATTTTGGCACACAAGCTCGCAGCGGTATTCTCCTGGGTGAAATGACGTACAGGGCTGCGAGGTTTCCAGTCTCGAGGTAGTTCACGATCCATTCCATGGTCGACCCTGTTGGGGCTGTTTAAGGGCATGCGGCTCGGAAACATGAGCTCTATATTTCTCACCGACGAGGAGCTGGGAAAGAAGGATGACGACCATAAGCCGGCCAAGCTGCCGCCGCTTCGATCCCATCACTGGAGTCCAGCTCGAGTGCCAGTCCGGAAGACGTTGAAGCGCCTCGCTATCGCATTGATCATAGGCCTCGGTGTCTATCTGTTCATCAAGAATATACCCACCGATGTGCCGATACGAGATCGACGTCGACCCGTCTACGGGCAGACAGACGAGACCCTCCCGTTCCGCCCTCCACATGGAACAGCGAAGTCGAGCCCCCCAGTGACGAATTTCGACGAGTCCGTCAGATCGGCCGGCCGCACTTATAACGCCCCAGCTAGGTTCCCGAACCTTGGAACTTCGCTCCAGGCAATCTCGAGCACAAGGGGTAGCCTCTTGACCAACAAGAATGTTCTCTTCGTTGCATCTAGCCTGAAGAGTGTTGCCGCTCTTCTTCCCATGGCCTGTCGCATGGGTTCTGAATTACGAAGCTATGTTCATTTTGCCTTGATGAGCCGCAGCGAGATTGATATCGATGAACTGCGTGCAATCAATGGTATTGATGATTCGTGCCAGGTCATATTCCACGGTATGCTCATCTGCCCATGGCCCCGGCACCTGTTCCAGTCCAGATCGGCCCAGACTGACGCTCGATAGACGCCCGTCCCGATTATTCTTCCATCTCAACTGAGGCTCGCCTTGAGGCTTGCACTTCACGCGCACTATGTACTTGAACTGCCCACCCCCTCTCTTGTCTCTCGGCCATGGGATCTAACCACAGCCTAGTCCACATATACGGGTACATGCACCCCCAGGCGGTCATTGTTGACGGCTCCAGCACCGAAGAAGTCTTTTTCCTCGGCGCCATGCGAAAGAAAGCGCACAACATAGGAGTCCCTCTGATCGAATTGCCCGAGTCAGCCCCGAAACGGCTGACTTGGATGACAAAACTCGACAGTTCCTCATTAGCCGGTTAGTCCTTCCCCTCGCTCTCCAGCTGGTTTTGGAGAACCCCCGTTTTGCTAACTCGGAGATATAGCCTGGAACAGAGTAAACGTAGAGATTCTGATTCAAGCACCGCCAGGAGGATCAGGGAGCCTGATCAGACTGCTCAGGTCCTTGAGCAGTGCGGATTTCACGTCATGCGCGATCCCCCATCTAACCATCGAGCTCCCTCGTAAAATTGACCCGTTCACGGCCAAATTTCTCGAGACATTTCAGTGGCCGCCGGCCCATGTCCACAATCCATCCCATACCAGACAGCTTTCGTTGCGTCGCCGTATCCCCCGCCAAACCCCGAGTGAGGAAGAGAGTGCGGTCCGCTTCCTCGAGTCTTTCTGGCCGTCAAATCCTCGCGATTCACATGTCCTGGTCCTCTCTCCCCAGGCAGAGCTCTCACCTCGGTTCTTCCACTGCAAGTTTCTCTTCTTCCTCCAACGAGCCAGAATGGCCTCTAACATGGATGCGCGTAGATCTCAAGTACTCCTTACTGGAATACGGGTACTCGAACGCCGCTGTGCTTCAGGAGTGGGATAGGAGACTCTTGGGAATTAGTCTCGACTTGCCTGCAACCTATCTGAATGTGTCCGAGCCATTCTCGCCGCCGACAAGGAAGGACGCTGTTCATTTGGCAGCAGCTGCAGCGGCTGCAACTGACGAGCCCACCTCCTTCCTCTGGCAAGCGCCAAACAGCAATGCCGTTCTCTTCTTCGGGCAGAAATGGGTCGAGCTTCACGGATTTGTTTCCAGACTGGTCGATTTCCAGCATGGGTCGCCCTCGCCAGCGCCACTCCTATCCGAGAAGCTCGTAAGCAAGAGGTATCCGGCTTGGCTGGAGCACGCATTGAAGCTTTCCCGGGCTCGCGGCTACTGGACTCTGTATCCCAGCAAGATGACGGCAAGCAACCTGGCTACTATTCACAATGAGCTCTATGCACCCCCTGAAGAGTACGAGGCCGATGCCACAAGGGATCCGAGCGATGCGACCGAGATTATATTGGCAGATGGACCGTTACTTGACAGACTACCTAACGGAGGCAACCTCCCACCCTTCAACCAGCTGCCCTTGGTGACGTGGGACGGACTGGTGACGAAGCTGCACGATTTTGACAGCGCTGCGTCAGATTATGCCGCGAAGTTCCGGGGCACAATTGGGGGCTGCGAGGACCTCCTTCCATCCGACTTACTGCCACAAAAGTCGGCAGGAGATCTGTTCTGCTCGAAAGAGGCTTAAGCGCTGTATCAATTCATAGCGCAATGTCTCCTGGCATCTTTCATTAGCAGCATCGTGTTCCGACAATGTACATATGCTCCTATGGGGAGGGCGTTTATTTAGATACGCCCTTCCAAGTATATTGGACTCAAATCAAGGCCCAGGCCACCCTCAAATCCCCGACACTTTGAAAACAACAAACTCACGAGTCGGCCTCTGAGTCCAAAATGTTGACCACAAGAAGTGCGATACTAGTGCCCAAGATAACCAACGCTATTACAGCCATGATCTGTGAGGGTTAGTCACCCGGCATGGCCAGCCACGGCCAGAAGGGGGATAGGAAAGAACTCACCAACTGTGTTTTCCACCCCGTCTGCACGATAGCTGCTCTCCGGCCATACTTGTTAATGGTTCCTGCCATGGAAAGTCAGCATTCGCGAAAGCCCCGACCAAACATTTTGGGGGGGGGGGGTTGGGTTAGAGAGGCTCCCATACTTGTATAATTGGCGATCCCAAGGCAGAGACAGGCCACAGACAACACCCAGAACACGGTGCCGAGGGGCTTCGCCATGCGTAGCTCAATATCGCTGGCCTTGTGCCTCAGGTGGAAGGACAGCACGATGGCGACGGACACGACTGCCATGTATACCGAGAATTTCAGGTACGACAGGAAGGCTGTAAAAGGGGAAGAAGCGGGGAGTGAGGTCCCTGTCAGCTATCCAGAACCAGAGGGGGAAAGTAATGCGGGCCATGAGGAAGGAGGGGGTTCCGGCGCACTTCTCTCGTTTGCACAGTGGTCGCGAGCATCGCTGGTCTCGTTCTCGAAGAGCAAGGGCGCCGAGAAGGGCCATATCCAGAAGGCGTTATCGGCCTCGTGTCCGCGGCTGGTGAGAATATTAGAGCAGAGCGGGAATGGGGCCTCGAGGGGCGTTTGCCAGGCTGGGGAGGGGTTGGGAGTTGGGAAGAACTTACACGCCATGGCTGCCCACCTCGATCGGTTTCCGGAGATGAGATAGCGATGGCACGGTACAACATGACAGGGTGCCGTCTTCCTCGTCTACGATCTCTGGCCCGGGTTCGGTCATATTTCCAGGGGTGTAGAGCGAGAGAAAAAGAAGAAGAAAGGCCTGGGGTGGGTGGCCAACTGCCAGGGCGAGTCAAACGGGGAGATCCCAAAACCGTTAACGTGGATTGCGTGCGCTTTGGTAGAATATACGCATGTTCTCGTCCTCGTTGGAGATGGAGGGTAGGGGGGTCAGTGCGTCATAGGTGCCGATGGCATGCAACGGTCTGGTGGGGCAAGGGTCTGGCGGCTAATGGCACTGTAAATCATTACATGTATTCTGTACATGCGCCTGTTCCATCCCATCCCCTTGTCTCCTGCTCTCCCACTGACAGGTCTCCCATTTGAACCTTTGTCAGACTCTGCTATCCTCATCCCTCCCTCTAGGTCTGTTGGAGTTCTCCCCGAGCTTCGAACCTAAGAGAATTATCGTTCCAGAATAAGGGTGGAATCTGCTGCCCAAGTACCACAACTCCAAATCAACTTCATCTGCCTCCTCTTCGACCTCTTTTGCATTTTACATAGCATTGTTCATCATATCTTTCTGGTGGTTCGTAATATCAGATTCCCGTTGGACTACCATCGTCATCCGTTGTAACTGATCCATGTCCACAGAACGGTTCATACTGGCTAGCGTTCGAGCCGAGGTTGTCATGGCGTGCATCACCGGCTCGATCTGTCCGGAGGTCTGTAGCGGGGGTATCAGTACAGATTGTTCGCACGCGAAGGATATAGTATGATATACCTGTAGAAGAAGGGACATGTGCCGTAGATGATTCTTCCAAATGTAGGCCGCCTCGATAGTCCTAGGAGGATAGCTTATTAGTTCCGAAAACACACTGGGAGTCGCGCTTGTGCTCTGCTAACTTTCTAATACGGACGAGCTCCTGTTCTTGGATTCTGCGGACGCCAAATTGACCTCCCTGCGTGCTTCGCTCAATCATCTTCTCTTGCTTCTCTAGCTGGATTCGAAATAGATCCAGCCCCCCGATTTTCTCGTCGAGAAACGCCTGGGTTTCTTGTGACGACTCAGCTTGCGTATTACGCCAGCCGAAGACCCAGCCGAAGACCCAGCCGAAGAGCCATCCTAGAGCCTGTCAAATGAGGCTGGCGTTAGAGAACACAGGACAGGTCCGACAAGACAGATCGACTCACTTTCATATTGTCTGAAGGGGGCGGGATGGTATTGGAGTTGGAAAGCGTTACAGGGTGGAGATGTTGATGTTGCATTGCAATTGCGTTCGCGGTAGCCTGCCAGGTCGTCGGGGCTTTTTCAGGTTCGCTGGAGGAAAACACTGGGAGAGGTTCTGACTCTTATAGGCAGTCGATGTAGGAAATCGGTGGCAGCTCCGTCATCAAACCTCCCCCCCAAGGTTCACCAGAGTTATGGGACCTCTGCTCTAGGCGGTGAGGGAGTTCTTTGTTGGTATATACAGCTCCGAAGGATAAGTACTGTGCGTATTCAAGCTGATTCCAGACACAAGCTGTATGTCATTGTAGGAACCTGTTGTCAAATATGATATCTGCCTCTAGCGGTTTCGGCTCTCGAAAGAAAACGTCTGTAAACTCTAGTCGTAGAGGGCCGCTAGTGACCTGATACGACCTAGAATCAAGACATGCAGGATCCATCATGCTGATTATACCAAACACGAGTGATGTCGATAGTCTAGTGACATCTAGGCTCCTCATCAACAGCGGCAGCAGCTCTCGTTGTCATCGGCCCCAGTTGAGGAGTTGGCTGCTGGCTTTGGTTCCACGTTTCCACAGTGATTGATCCTTAGTTTCTGTCTGCCTTGGCAAGGATGGCAGTCCTGAATTCGCCATCTGATATGGTAAACCACCATCTTGGTCTGTAACGCTGGCCAAGTCTGTGTCCACCCAGCTTCGATCACCACTGATGGATAGAGGCACCTCTGGCAGTACCTTCTGGATCAGGACCATAAGACAAACCCGCCTCTCTAGCCGAGCGTGAAGTTGTGGTGCCATTCCGTTATAGAACCAAATCTAGCCAACTCGTCACCTAAACTCATATCTCGGGCCTTTTCCTGCAATTTCCAATTCAATTTGCAGATGGAGCTGTTCCTGAGGAGGCGTTGGAAATGTAATGATAAGGAGTTCCGAATCGGCCGAATAGAGCAACACTTGAAATCTCGAAACTGGGCCTCCCTCGCTGAGTCTAGCTTGTCGAATTTTTCCGGAGAGACGTATTGGATCCTCACAACCTCTTCGTAGACGTTGGTTAGTCGCTTGGAGAGGTTATCAACCCCTGCGTACTGGAAAGCAAGACTCTCTGTCATTGGGGTGGATATTTCAGAGGCGGCACAAAGTTCCAGGGCGCCGTCGGTAGTGCTCTATCAGTAGTACCTATTGCCCTTGCTGTGGACAGCTATTGCCGTTGCTACCTACTCAGCACTTGCTCAGATCCAAACTACCTTACCCAGTGGAAGGTGACAAGGTTCCATCCTCTTTAGGTACCTAGCGACTCTTATTACATCGCAGCACAAAGAACCCGCCGTCTCATCAGACGTGGCGGAATCCGAACCAAACCTCATGCGACTTGCAGGCTTGGGTTGGGTAAGACAAAAGCGTATGCGGCATGGGAACACTGCAAGGCGCCCGGGAAATGGCGTCGATGGCCCAGGCATAGCCGCCACTAAGGTTATTCTTTACGCGTGCCGCCGAACTTGGATCACTTAAACGATGGGGACGTCTCGTTGCTCTTTGGCTCCTGGGATTCCTCAGGGCGAACAGCGTCGTCGAAATAGCCTAGAATCACAAGGTCTAGCACCAAAATAAGTGGGGCTATTATTTTAGGTATGTAAGTTAAATTAGGGAGCCGCAGTTTTATTCAGTAAATCCGCCCTTATAGCACAGCGGTAGTGCGTTACACTAGTACCCTAACAGTTCAATGTAAAGGTCCCTGGTTCAATTCCAGGTGAGGGCAATTTCTTTTTTTGTTCCTGTATTTCTATGTCCTCTCATCTACACACCGCTTCCTTTGTTTTGTTTTTTTCCTCTATTTAACCGACTGCATGCGGGAGGTCGACGGGAAGTCATGTGATTGTGTGGAGGTGAGCAAACCTAAAAACGAAGGCATGACTTGGATCTTCAAGGGTTTGGTAAGAATGAGTAACACGCTAGGGAGGCATTTTAGGTGGGTACATGATAGCGGAGACAGGATTGATTTCCAGATGAGAGCATTCAATGAATTGATCACTACTATTCCATGCTCTAATCCATTGAATCCACCAATCACAGTCGTGGAGCCGGTCATTTCTCGAACTGTGAATCTCACCTGCATTGCTCTAGATCAGCTGCTCGCGCCCTCCCCCTTTCTCTTTCTCTCCAGCACTCCGAATCCGAGTGCCGAAGCCGTGCACGCATGGCAGAGAACCGGCCAATCCCGGCCAGGGCGGCTCCTGACGTACCGCACACCTTCGCATCATCCTTGGCGCAGTCATTCCGCTCCTCCTCGCCGCTGGCCCAGGAGCTGGTGGCGAGGGACCTTGCAGAATGCTCCGACGCCGGGGACCCGGACTCCGGAGATGAACATGCTCTGGATTCCTCTGACTCGGAGGACGGAATAGAGGCCCCCACCCTCTACAGGCGGCCGAGTGGCATCGCCTATGGGACTGCGCGTCCTGCCTTGGGATCGAACGCTCTCAGCGAGCCTGTTCTCACCAGGGAGGAGCGTGTCAAATCCCGCGACGCCGAACGCAGCTTACTCAGGGACAACCATATCCTGCCGCCGAAGCACCCCGGCGTGGCCAGGCCGTCCCTCCTCGGCCGGCTCTACAGAAGGCTGTTCAGCACAAAGATCCCCCTTCCATCGCCGGACGAGGAGTCTCCCTCCCGAGCCGGTGATCGTACAGAAGTGTCACCCCTTCTCGGGCCGGACCTTACGGGCGCCGCTTCGGGCCATGAGCACCTGAACGAGCAGTGGGAAGCCGCCGTTGCCGAAGGGAGGATCAAGACCACGTGGCAGAGGGAGGCGAAGACGATAGCCGTCTACTCGAGGTCCCTCATTGTCACCTTCCTCCTCCAGTACTCCATCAACGTTGCCAGCATCTTTGCTGTAGGACGGATCGGAAAGCTTGAGCTTGGAGCCGTGAGTCGTAAGTATCCATCGGCCTATCTACCCCGGCCTGGTTCATGTCCAGAGTGCCTCGACTGATATCAGACACGTAGTCGCAACGATGACCGCAAACATTACTTGCTACGCGCTTTTCCAGGGACTGGCCACCAGCCTTGACACCCTCTGTGCGCAAGCCTACGGTTCAGGCCACAGGCATCTCGTAGGCTTGCAGTTCCAGAGGATGACGTACTTCCTGTGGCTTATCATTATCCCCATCGCGGTCCTCTGGTTCAAGGCAGAGGGCATCTTGGCCACGATGATTCCCGAGCGACGCTCAGCCGAGCTGGCAGGGATATACCTGCGGATCACTCTCCTGGGCGCCCCAGCCATGGCCGCATTCGAATGTGGGAAGAGATTCGTGCAGGCCCAGGGCCTATTCCACGCGACAACCTATGTGCTGATGATCGCGGCCCCGTTGAACATACTACTGAACTATCTGTTTGTCTGGAGGTTTGGCTGGGGTTACATTGGCGCGCCCATTGCCGTCGTGGTTACGCAGAACCTTCTCCCGCTGCTTCTATTCCTATACGTCTGGCTGGTGGACGGATCGCAGTGCTGGGGCGGTCTCAGCAAGCGCGCATTCTCAAACTGGGGTGAGTCTCCCGGGATGAAGGATATTCTTTACCTTTCCCTTTTTGCCGTGGACATTGGAATCAGCTCGACTGACCACCCCGGCTAGGTCCAATGATTAGATTGGCGCTTCCAGGCATGATTATGGTGGAAGCGGAGTGGTTCGCGTTTGAGATCCTGACGCTGGCATCTGGCCGGTTTGGGACCTCCTACTTGGCCGCCCAGAGCGTCTTGGTAACGGTCACCTCTACGACCTTCCAGATACCCTTCCCGCTGTCAATCGCTGGGTCCACTCGGGTTGCGAACTTGATCGGTGCGAAACTACCCGATGCGGCGAAGACATCGGCCAAAGTGGTGAGTTGATTCGAGCTCCAGTCAGAGATCAGTAGCAGCAGGTTGTCTCTAACTCGACGTCAACGCGCAGACCTTCGCTGGAGGCTTGCTTGTTGGTCTCTTCAACCTGACCATGGTCGCCACCTTCAGATACCAGATACCTCTTCTCTTCACCAAGGACCCCGAGGTTGTCGAGATAGTCGCACATGTAATGCCAATCTGCGCGGTTATGCAGCTCTTTGACGGCACGGCTACCGTCGCCCACGGTCTGTTGAGGGGCATTGGGAGACAGGAGATCGGAGGCTACGCCAATCTGGCAACATACTACCTTGTGGCGCTTCCCATCTCCTTTGGTCTCGCTTTCGGCCTTGGCTGGAAACTCAACGGCCTGTGGGTCGGAGTGACGTTTGGGCTTCTTCTGTGAGCATCGCACCCAAGGATCTACACCGCCCCATAAGTACAAGATGGAAGCTAACTATGTGATAGGGTATCGGTTATTGAGTACTGGTTTATATGCAAGTTGGATTGGGAAAGATCCGTGAGAGAGGCAGAGCATAGAAACGCGACTGGATAGAGGGTATGGTGGGATGATCTGCCCATGTTTACTGTGTATAACGCCGCCAAGAAGAAAAGGGGAGAGCTAAGAAGTCCAATTTTTATAGCACGAAAAGAAAGGGGGGTCTCCGATAATGGGCATATACAACTGGGAAGATCAGCCTTGGAGTAACCAGCCGTGATGAGGTACACGTACTTGGGATACCAGTGGTTGAAAGACATGTAAACCTACCTACGCTGTTGACTCTCGTATCAAATTACACAAGCAGATTGGAAGATGTTTGTTTGCTGATTGAGCTTGTGTCAACTGACGAAGCTTGTGTGAAATTGGCCTGTGCATTGCGGGGTTGGCCTGTGCGTTCCAGAAACTAGCAATAAAGAGCTCCCCCCAAGCCCCCGTATCCCCTAGTTTGGCTTCCCAATCTCACAGAGGCTTCTTTTCCACTTCCCAATCGACCGAACGTCTGCATCTGCGACTGAGGCACGCCCTACCCAGAGCCATGTCTACCATCACTACTACGACGGAGACTCGTGCAGAGCCGATTACGGCCGAGACCATCCTCCGGCTCTTCCCCGATATCGACACGCGCGGGGATGCTCTGGAGGGGCACGACGAAGAGCAGATTCGGCTCATGGACGAAGTCTGCATTGTCCTCGACGAAGATGATGTGCCAATTGGGAAGGCCAGCAAGAAGATCTGTGCGTGGTACAACACTGGTAGTGTTGAGAGGCAAGGCTAACATGCATTGCTCTTGCAGGTCATCTCATGAGCAACATCGACAAGGGCCTCCTCCACCGGGCCTTCTCCGTCTTCCTTTTCAACGACAAGAATGAGCTGCTACTCCAGCAGCGGGCTCCCGAGAAGATCACTTTCCCGGACATGTGGACCAACACCTGTTGCTCCCACCCGCTTGGAATCCCCAGCGAGACGGGCTCCAACCTGCCCGATTCCATTGAAGGAGTCAAGAGAGCGGCGCAACGAAAGCTGGACCACGAGTTGGGCATCAAGAAGGAGCAGGTCCCCCTGGAGGACTTCCATTTCCTGACTCGCATCCATTACAAAGCCCCTAGCAACGGCCAATGGGGAGAGCACGAGAGTAAGAGATACAGAATCAGGGCCCATTCGGGCCACTTGCCCCTCGCGCTAGACAGGACTAATGGTGCATCACAGTCGACTATATCCTCTTCATCAAGGCTAACGTCGACCTCGATATCAACAAGAACGAGGTCCAGGCCATTCAATACGTGTCTCCGGATGAACTGAAGAAGCTCTTCACCGACCCCTCTCTCAAGTTCACCCCCTGGTTCAAACTGATCTGCCACTCGATGCTCTTCGAGTGGTGGCAGCACCTCGACTCGGGCCTCGAGAAGTACACCAATGAGCAGCAGATCAGGCGCATGTGAGAGACGACGAATCACGTCACGGGCCGAGGGCCACGGGCGGCATCGGGGGCACATACGTACCCCGGCGATCAGGGCCGCGGCGATTTCGCTATAGGATACTGCTTGTTTAGCCGTGAGATTTCCGCTCTCGTGTGTTGACGAGATATCGAGACTCGACACTAAAGAGCTCCATTTGTTTTGTTTCCCAACACTCACTCTCGCACATTCCGGTTGAGCCACCGGCTCTAAATGGGGAGTGTTGGGCAACGTTCTAGCTAGCAAGGCAAGGCCGGCTTACCCGGTCAAGCTGCTGCATGCGATCGTGTGTTGTGATAGAGAACCCCCACGTTGGGAAAGTCAGTCAATGATAGTTGGCAAGGCAAGATTGTCCTTCCATGTGAGTCTCACTTTCTTGCCGACTCGTATCGCCTTCTTTGAGAGCTGATTGCAAGCCACCAGCTTCCTGGCTGCGTCACCTGACGGGCCTGCACATATGCTAAGGCAGGCTCTGAATGGATCTACCAGTCTGGACGATGACTGCTCCGGCAATTGGGGCCTATGATTGGGGCAATGTGTAATCTTGGGGTGCACATCGGCCCTTGGCGTACGTTGCTCAACATTCGAGAATGCAAAATACAGAAGCCGTCTTGTGACCTCACCCTCAGCGTGCGTAACTGCATCCGGATTGCCCTGCTTCTACCACCCTGCAGCTCCATGGGATGGAGAGACCGTAATACCCACGCAGGCCTGCCTATCCAAGCGGCCTGCCTACTGCATGTTGGCATGTAAAGTCTGTCGCCTTGCTCAATAGTTCGACCTAGTGGCTCTAACCAAGCGTTGGAAACCAGATATCTATCTACACGCCTCCCCCAAATGTAGACACCGCAGGGCAGTCATCGGCAAGACCCGGCGAGGAAATCCTGGTGCTTGTGCGGCTCTCCAATCTCTTGTCTCCAAATACGGCTCCCTGCATTCATCCCACTCGATTGTATCCCTGTCTCACTTTGATCTTGTCCTTGGGGGGGGGGGGGGGGGGGGGGGGGGCGCCGGGGCGCGCGGGGGCGGCGGGGGGGGGGGGGGGGGGGGGGGCGGGGC